GTACTGTGCTTCAGGTATTTTTTATAGTCTCTTGAGTCCAATGTGTACCTAGCATTGTCAACATTTCCATCATCGTAGCTTGTAAGTACAGTCAGTATTTGTACCCAGGCACAAATATTTTGGGGCTTCAAAATTGTTTTATTAGAATACTGAGCTAATAAGTTAAATATATAATAAATTCTCTCCTTGCTCTGCTGGGATACTGAAAAGTCCAGGAAAAGTACAAAGAGAGGCATGGTTAAGTTTACTGTGGAGAAGGAATATTTTAAGAAAGATTACTGTAGGAAGGTAACACCTTATCAAGAGTTTGGTGACACTATTCAGTAGTTGTGGTAGAAGATGGGAATGACATTTGGAAGTGGAGTTATGTATATGTATTTGACCATCACTTGCTTGATCATTCTTGGATTTTTGTACCTTCATCTCTTGGGTCCAGAGTCTTTGAATATTTGAAGATATATATTTACTGAATCTCATTTTTTCTTCTAAGAGTTTTGAAATTACTCCCATACATCTCAATAGCTATCTTAGTCTGTGAATAATTTCTAGACCTCCCTGTTTCCACTTAACATTTCCAGCCTCACAATTTCTTCTAGGCAACATGATTTTCATCAAAGACTTCCCTTCACGTTTCATGGGTGTTCTTCACTCCCCTGATGTCATGGAGTGCATGCTCTGGGAACTTGTTGAAAATAGTGAAGGTTTTGATGCCTTGCTTATCTGAAACAAAAGCTTTGTATTGAAGCATGGAGGGCTGTAGATGTGTCTTCAGTGAAGCCCCCCCTTTAGAACTTTGGAATTACTTAACTGTTTGACTTGTCTCCTAGATTCCAGCTTTGTTGAAAAGGCTAATGCCGTTCAGGTTCTGAAAATTAGTTAACCTATTTCTCTCCAAAAGAAAAGGGCCTCAATTTTAGATATTTTACTTTGACTTTCTTTTTCTTTTTGGACATTTTAATTTTTTAAAGTTTCTTGCCTTTTTAGTTTCACGGTAATATTCTTTGACATGGCTACCTGTTTTCATTTATTTCTGCATTCATTCATTCTGAATACTGACTAACTACAGTTTGGGAACATATATTGCATTTTCTCTTTCCTCAGTTCTGCAGATTTCTTCAATTGGATAATAAAGCACCTGAGCTGACTTCCTTGAGATTTGGTCCTACTTCCTGGTAGCCTGGAAAGGCTGTGTAGAGTTGTGGTGGAGGACTCTGGATCCAGAAGGGCTGTTGGAATCCTAGCTGTAGCCATGTTCTTAGCCCATCTGTTTTTATCTTTAAAATATATTCAAATTAGCTAATTTTCTCATATATAGTGAATACTATTATTATTAATTGGTAATAGTATTACCTTAAATAAGATCCCAACTTTCTACGTGAATTCTTGATTTCTGTAATTTTTTTCTAAAAGTGTGTGTGTGAGTGTATGTCTGAGTGAGTGAGTGAGTGAGTGAGTGAGTGATATGTATTTGAGTCACATTATGCTGTGGTGTGTGTAGAGGTCCAAGGACAGCTCCACGAGGTCTGTTCTTTCCTTAGACTGTTTGGCCTTAACCTGCTGAGTCATCTGGCCAATCCTAATGCCTTTCTTCATTTTCCTGTCACAGTTTTCTAGCCTTTCATTTCTTGTTTCATGGATGAAGTGTCATCTTGAATTATAACTGTGGGGGGGGTCTTTAACATGTAAGGTGGGAATTAAAGCAAGTAACTAGTGACAACCTACATGAATCAAAATCTTAAAATATTTAGGGCAGGGGTGAGGATTTGAACTGTTCAAGTTTCCTTCTGTTTTCTGGATTGACATTTGTATTATTTTGAAGTCTATTGCATGTTAAAGACTCTTTCTAAATTCCTCATGATTATATTCAAATTATATTTGACAGGAGTATACATAAGTCTATCTTGTTCTCTGTATATCACACCAAGGAGTGCTTGGTGCTGTTTAGAAATTTTGCCCATTTAGAAAACTACAGTATCTGACTTTATTTATTTATTTATTTATTTATTTATTTATTTTGGCTTTTTGGTAGATAATACAAATTTTGTTTGCCATCTTTCGGATTTGCTTCTGGTGTATTTATCTTTTAAGAAGTCCCCCCCCCCACTTATATTTCATTGTGCCTCAATAGAAAGGTCTCTTAAGAACCCTGATTAACTGTTTCATGTGTAAGATAGGGCTAACAGTAGATAAGAACCCCTGATGTTTGGTTTTTCTTAGTAGGTATATATAGGTAGAGACTGTGAAGAGGGTTCTTTTTCATTGTGACATTTTTCTTTATTCTTATTCTCTTCTTCTTTCACTGTCCTATTTGGTCTTGTGTTGTTGTAACAACACCATGACCAAAAGCAGCTTGGGGAGGTAAGGGTTTATTTCATCTCATAAGTTATAGTCCATCATTGAAGGAAGCCAAGGTAGAAAGTCAAAAGCAGGAGTTTGAAGTAGGAACCTCAGAGAAATGCCCAGTGATGATACCACCCCACAGTGGTCTAGACCTTTCTGCATCAATGAGCAGTTAAGAAAATGTGTCACAGACATGGGACAGGCCAGTCTGATGTGGGCAATTTTCAGTTGAGGTTCCTCTTAACAGGTGACTCTAGGTTGACAGGTGAAGCTAACTATGACTCCACTGCCTGGTAGAAATTCTGAAACAACCCCCCCCCCCCATTCTGGTATCAGTCGCTAAGCATTTTATTAAAAAAAAAAAAAAAATGTAGATCAGACAATATCCTGGGCTTGCTGGCAACACTTCCTGCTGAGATGTGATGTGAAGCACTGTTTCTCCAAGAAGCTCTTTCTTGGAGCAACTCGAGTGACTCACAGAAACCTCAGGTTTTCAAATGTTATTTGGTGCTGTATGCCATAAATTGGAACCTGAAGATTTGTATTTAGTCCTTGTAGCAATAAAATTTAGCCTCATGTATTACTATTATTAGGAAACTCATGGAAGGTCCTTGTCATCCATCTTGGCCTTTGAGAATTATGAATTGAGGCTTTGCTACCTTAACAGCACTTAGAACATTGTTTTAGTAGTCCTGTCAACTCCTTACTCTTTTGCTGCTGACTTATATCAAGTTCCTTCATTTCTCCTTTTTGAAGTTTATTTTTCTCAGTTTAGTGAGTTTTGAGAAGTGGAGAGAAACAAGTACAAAGTGCTCTTAACTGCTGAGCTATCTCTTCAGCCCCAATAAATAAGGGAAACAGAATCCCTGAATGAATAGCATGGGAACTCTTTCCCCCTGACTTTATATTAGTTGTGTATTAACTGTGATGCTAGTCTAACTCATCAGGTTGCCTGTGACTTTGATCTCATAGTTGAGAGAAGATAGTTCCTGTAAGAACATGCACATCATAGAAGCAGGTGTAGAATGTCTCTTTAGTTATTGGTTACTTGTCTCTCAGGGTGCTTCTACTTCTGTCTACACATCTGCTCTAGGACCTCCTGGAGGCTTCCTTTCCTGTATTTGCCTTGGTTTCTGTCTTCTCAATTCAGCTTACATCTGAGTCCCCATGAACATTCCAGACTGTACCTTTGTAAGTGAGGTAAAAAACATTCTCCCATTTAGTATGCTGGTTTGATTTTGGAAAAGCACTTCAGGCAAATATTAGTCCACATTGAATATTTCATGAAAGAATTTAGCATTTAAGTATCAGAATTGGCTGCGAGTGCTTCTTGGTTTGTTTTTCTTTTTAATTTGCATTAGGTCTTAGTGTGGTGTGGCAGAAAGGTCAATTTACTAGTCAGTTCATCATTACTGTAATGAAGTACCCAAGCATGGCTGATTTCATAAGGCTGCTTTAGCTCACATTTCTGGAGACTTATGGACTTGGCACTGGCATTAATCTGGCACTGATAAAGGCCTCATGGTGATTGGTACCACAGTGGCAGGATATGGAGGTGAGAGATTGCTTTGCCAGACAAGAAGTCAGGGAGCCAGTAAAGGCTCAGGCTGTGACTTGCATTAACAACTTAGTTTTGGAAAAATTTCTCTAGAGTTGATAACCACTTTTTTTTTTTTTTTTTTTTTTTTTTTTTTTAGCACATGTCCTCAGTGACCTAAAAACTACATACTGGAACCCAGTCTAGGGATTACATTTCAAGCAAATTGGTGATGAAGCTTTGAGCATAGGAGCTTTGAGGTATAAGGGAAAACCATCTCCAGGTATAGCGACTAATTAATATAAACTTCAGGAGTCTTAGATGATAGACCTGCTTTGCTGTTCTCGAAGTTTTTGTGTTCTTTATCAGTGTGTGTTTAAAATACTGGTTTAGGTGGAATAATTCTAAGGACTGTCATAGTTACTTTCCTATTGATATGAAGAGACACCATGATGAAGGCAACATAGAGAAGACAGTTTATTGGGGCTTACAGTTTCAGAGGGTGAGTCCATTGACTGTGGTGGGAAGCAGGACAGAAATAAGCAGGCATGGTGCTGGAACAGTAGCCAAAACCTTACATGCTGAGGCCACAACCTCCAAGCAGAGAACTTGCTAGGAATGGCACGGGCTTTTGAAACCTTAAAGCCCACTCCCAGTGACACACCTTCTCCAACAAGACCACACCACTACTCCTTCCCAAACAGTTCAACCAATTGGGAAACATTTTTATTCAAATCACCACTGGTACTGTGTAGCTATAAAGAATATGACTGCTGGTGTATTGGATTGGGAAAGATAATTTTTATAAAGATGATCAGTAATAGAAAGCTATTTTAACATGAAATCATCTCTCTAGAGAGAGTGTTGTGTATTTTTAAAACTCAGAAATGAGGGTAACCCAGGTAATTGAATAGATAAGGGCATTTATTATGATGGAGCTCACTCTTCTCATTTAACTTGATTATTAAGATAACGGGACAATCTTCATACACTGATTTAAGTCATATTAACTTTTCGTCACAAACTTTAAGTCTAATATTGAAGTTTGGTATTTTATGACTTTCAAAAACTATAGTTTGATATTCAGGATAGTTAAATAACCTGGGTTTCCTTTATGTTTTAGGATTTAAGTGCCCGGTATGCTCAAAATTTGTACCCTCAGATGAAATGGATTTGCATCTGGTGATGTGTTTAACAAAGCCAAGAATAACCTATAATGGTAAGTTTGGTGCCTTAAAATCACATTGTAATTTAGTATTATCATAAATAATGTGAATTTCATGACTGTAGCAAAATTTAAGTGCCAGGGAAGAACTCAAATTCTCATCGTGTTAAAAATCTGTTAAGTTATATCTCTTAATAAGTGATAAGTAATTATCATGTCTTTTCTAGAGATAATTTTTGTGTTGTTGTGGTGATAGGGCACATCAAATACCCTGGAAAATTTCATTGGAACACAGGGGAGAGTGGGGATGAAAAAGACAAATGGTGTTAGCATGAAAATAGTCTTGGCTTTGTTCAGTGAATAGGATGGCTAAGACTCCCTTACTTCCCTTCTCCAGAAGATTTTTGGATTTACACTTGAGAACTCCTGTGCCTGAATAAAATCTAAAGAAAAAGTAATTAATTTGTTTCTGACTTTGTTCAGAAAAAAATTGTGCTTAAGGATATATAAAAGTGAAGAATCAGAGAGATTTTTTTCAGTGGTTAAGAACACTTGCTGCTTTTGCAGAGGACCTGGGTGCAATTCCCAGCACCCACATGGTAGCTTACAACTCTGTAACTTCAGTTCCAGGGGCCCTGACACCCTCTTCTGGCCTCTGTGGACACTGAACACATGTGGTACACAGAGACACATGCAGGCAGAGCACCCACACACATAAACATAAATAACTCTTAAGCATATCTGTAATAAATGATACATTGTCAGCAGTGGGGATAAAGTTTATTCACAGATACAGTAGATAAACAACTAATGGGAGAAAACAAATGTAGTAAGTGGAGACTGAGGCTTTGCTGTCACCATTATCTGTCTCTGAACCCACAGATACATTTCATTCTTGTGCTAACTGGCCATTGCTTTAGGTCTGGTATGTTGGACCAGGGTATTCTCTCCTGACCTTAGTAATACAGTCTTCGGTGTCAAAAAAAAAAAAAAAAAAAAAAAACAAGTAGAATAATTTTGAGAATTAAAGATCAAATAATTCCTCCTAGCTGATAGAAACTTCAGGGATTTTGTGGTGTCTGCCTATAAATAACTTTAGCATAGCCAAGACTGCAGCCACCCTGGGCTAGTTACATAGTAAGACCCTGTCTCTGGATGCAAAGAAATAAGTAAATAGAGGAACTTAGCTCATACCTAAATGCCATTAAGGGGGGAAAAGGGGGGGGGGGGAAATCTAAGGCTTAGATATAAAGTGAGTAATAAGAATACTAGTAATTGGCAAATTCTGTTGAAAGACTAAGTTTAGCAACTATACAGTTACTGTGCTAAGTACTATGGTCCAATAAATAAGACAGGTAGAGCTTACGGCCTTTCAAGAGTCAATGAGATGAATATATGCTTGGGATGACTTTCCATGTGGTTTAGGATGGTAGTGTGTCTAGCCTCAGCCTCACAGTGGTGAAAAAGCATTTCTTTCCATTCATTTACCAATGTATAAATGAATAACAAATGTATTGTTTGTGTCCTAACCGTTTTACCTTATGAAATTGTCTTTACATAATCTAGTTGAAATTCAGTTACTTAAAATTCTCATTCAAGTTCAGAATTTGAGATTAAAAGTGGGTAGTTTTGTTTCTGTACTTGCTCCATTGTTCTGCCATTACAGTTCATAATTATGAGATATATATATATATATGTATATATATATATAGTGTGTGTGCATATATGTATATTTGTGTGTGTATATATATATATATCTTTTGCCTTTAACGTTAACCTGGCTTTTAAAAAATTGCAGCTACATTTCATTGAATTAAAAAGCATAATGTACATTTGCACATATTCTGTAATTTAATTTTTTTATATCTAGAACACTATGTAAATGTTCTGATATTTGACAGCTTTTCATTTCCTAGTTTAGCTGTTTTAAGTTACTAAACTTGTCTACTTAGTTGTCCCAAAGTGTAACTAAATAACAGCGGGCTCTTGTCTTGGTGAGTACTAATAAGCCAGTGAGTACAACTTGAAGACAAAGACAAACTATAAGAGAGGTTTATAGTTAGCAGTAAGGAGTGCACTGGATTTTTACCAAAGCAATGTCCTCTTGTGGTGTGAGGTCGTCAGGGCAGACTGTTGAGTGCTCTAAGGAGCAGGTTGACACTAGGTGCCCTGGATGAGTCAGAGTGACTGGCCTTGCAAGTCCTCTAAATTTTCCTGTAGTTTTAACTGAAAAACAAAACAAAACCCCAAACAAAGCCACTTGAAAGGGATATTAGCAGTTTTGTTTTGTTTTGTTTTTAAGCAGCCTTCTCCTCAGGTGTTAAGAGTATGCCCCAATGCCTCCTATGTAGCTTGAATTTTAATTGGTTAATAATAAAAACTTGGTGTCAGATATCAGAGAAGCAGAGCAGCTGGCCACTAGAGAGTTCTGCCTCTGCCAATGTCAGACCAAAGGGGCAATCCTGTCCTCAGACTGCATCCTCAGACTGTACCTCCTTGGTGCTGGGATTAAAGGAGTGTCCCTCCAAGTGATGGAATCATTTTCCTTGAGCACTGATTTTAGACTGGATCAATTTTATGTAGCCTAGGGTGACCTTGAAGTAGCAGAGATCACTGTCTTGCCTCTGTCAACCAAGTGCTGTGCCTCACACGTGTGGCTAGCTCTGTACTCTGATCCATAGGCAAGCTTTATTAGATCATAAAATATCACCACACTCCTGTACAACTCTCTCTCTCTCTCTCTCCTCCCTCCCCCCCCCCACTTTCTCTGCTCTGCTAGGAAAGTTAAAGCCCTTCTGAAAAATAACTAGGCCCAGGTCTGTCTATTAAACATTTACAGCAAGAAGCAAAAAATTTTATGAATTTTGTATATTCTTTAATTTTAAAACTAGCTTATGGACTGTGGTGACACACAAGTGAAAGAAGCGATCTTTGGCTGCACATCAGGTGGCACATTGTGGCACATCGGTAAACATTGTGGCACATTGGTAAACTTCCTCTATGTCTTGGGTGTGGGGATTCTAATTATGTTAAGACAAGCCCCAGAATACCACTTACCACACTGGTGGTGAGTCTGATTGGCGATGGTTTTTTTTAATGCCTGAGCAAAGCATCTGTTATGTTATCATGAAGTTTAGAGCAGGTGGATCAGAGACTCTGAGGCTGAATTTTTTCCGTCCCGTGACTCTAGTTTTGTGTTTGAATTCCTAAGTGTTGAACCCAATTCTACTAGATTGAGCCTCTAAATCCTGTTAATGCATAAACAAGAGTTCTCATTCTGTATGATATACTTAGTAAGTTGTGCAGGCTTCCAGAGGTAGCTAGACCTGAAAAATTTAAATTTATTTGTGAAATATATATTAACTATCTACAAAAATTCACAATTTGAATAGTCAGGCTTATTTTCAGACAGCTGTATTTATAGAGGAACTCTGAGAGAGGGTGAGTTCCAGGCATTTGATTGTAAACTAATGACTCAGCTTGAGATTCATCATCCCACCGAGATGCTTCTATTAAGGAACCTGTCTGTCTGCATTTGTTTGGGTTGTGGAGAACCTTAGTATCCTTAGTATGTCGGTTTATTTCTGTGTTGGGGTTAAGATGCTGGTTTTCAGTGACTGTGATAAAAATATCCAAGCAGCCAGCTTAATAGGAGATTGATTTGACCCCTGCTTTAGGTCATGATTCTAATTGGTCTCGGTGCTTTGGCTCTGGGGAGATAGCAGTGTGTAACAAAGGACGTGTACTCCTATGTCTTGGTAGCCAGAAAGTAGAGTGCAAGAGAAGGTGTAGCAGTGACTGTTAGGCTCTTCAGGAATGAACCTATGACAACTGCCTGCTAACAGCCATAACACCACAGCTTGGGGACCACGCACTGGCACACAGCCAATGGACACTTCAGAACCAGATCGCTTGGTGGGCGTGGAAGTGTCCTCTGAAAGTGAATTGTTACCAAGCACTGTGTGCTTATCTTTGTCTTTCTGAATCACTTGTAACTTTATTGTAGGATAACCATGACACTGTGGGGCATGAGGCCTTTTCTAACTTAGCAATAACCAACTGAATGGATGCTTGCTTTGAACTTGAGTAATGTGTGTGTCATTTTCATCTTTTTAAAACAAAAAGCAGCTTAATTTATTAAGTGTATTTTTTAACAATCTGTAGCCTAGACTGCTTCAAATTTACAAACTTCTTGCCTTGGCTTCTGCAAGTGATGAGATTCTGGGCTTCTTTTTTGCTTGTTGTTAAGATTTCTAATGGTCTAATTCAGTTGTGTTATGTTGTGTTGATTTCTAATATTGATGGATTTTTACATCTTTGATCACAGAATATTTAAAAAACACTGCTAATTGAGATTACACACAGCCAAAGATTAAGAACTGGAGATTTTTCCTTTGCTCTGAAGTCTATAATTCAGGAAGTTCTGCTGTCTCATCAGCTACATTACCCATTCTTAAAGACTGCTAACAGGTTCATCAGTCCAGTCATAGTTACCACTTCCTCCATGTATTCTGGGAATTTTGTTTGAAAATAATCCTTTTCTGTACCTAAGTGTGGTGAAGCAGTTGGGTAATGACAGTACCCTACAGGGGTGCAGGCCAGCCTGGGCTACATGAGACCCTTCTTCAACTACCCAAAATTATAAGTAATGATATTTTCCTCTAAATTTTATATTTCATTAGTATCACATTTCCTATGCTGTTTTCTCAAATTTTTTACTCTTTATATCTTTGGTTATATTTTTATTTTCATTATGTGTTTTTTGTACTTTAAGCAAGTTAAAATATTTAATTGATATTTTCAAAGAAGATAATAGTTTTAAATAAAGCTAAAATTTGTTAATGCTAAGTACTGAATATTTTTATTCTTTATATTTTAATAATAAACATTTTAAAAATAAATTTTTATATCTTTATCAATTTAATATGCTTTATTCCTTTTGCTAATTTTAAAGGTAATTTTGGTAGAGAGATATAGTGGGAAGTGATTTTGATTTTTGATGTTACAGAGTGCTGTCCATACACTCTGGTTTTAAATTCATTGATTAATTGTGG